TGCTATATAAAGAGAATAAAAATAAAAATAGGATTCATGGATGTATTAACCAAAATACAAAATAATTTTATTGGGGTTCCTGGGTGGCTAAGTCAGTTGAGTGTCTAAGTCTTAGTTTCAGCTCAGGTCATGATCTCAGAGATCGTGAGTTTGAGCCCCACTTGGGCTCTGCACAGAGTCTGCTTGGTAGTCTCTCTCTCTCTCTCTCTCTCTCTCTCTCTCACACACACACACACACATACACACACAAAGTAAATAAACTTAAAAAATAAAAGAATTTTATCTTTAAAATAACTAGTTAAAATCTTTAACGTTGAGAATTGTCTCTGTCATTGAGGAATAATTTCTATAAAGATATTCTAATGCCATCAAATCATCATAGCCTGTGTTAAATTTAAAATTATTTCTAGTGATTAGATGATCAATAATGTAAAATGTAAAGATGCAACCTTAGCTCAAGTCTAATCTATAAGCATATTGCCCTGGACATATCTGCCTTAACTGGATATAGTGAAAAAACACAATTTGAATAAAAACTACTAACTAGTTAGGTGACTTGCTTTCTTAAGTTACTTATTCTTTCTTGACCAAGTTGATCATATGTTAAGTGAGAATAAAGATATTATCAGTTCTTGCTTCACAAGATTGTTAAGAGTATCTCATAAAGACTGTGTATTATAAAGGATTGCATAAATTATGGTTCTCTTATGATTCCTGATATATATTTAGATCTAAATGTTGCAGGAAAAAGTCTAAAACAATTTGTAACCTATATATAATCCAGTTAATTTAAAATGAAAAAATAAGACAAAGAGGTAACATCTCACAGAAGTCTTACTAGACCGAGAGATTTTAAGAGAAGGCAAACCAGTTAAATGATGACCACTTTGTGGGCCCATTGAACCTACTTCCATTAGTGAGAGTGATTAGCCAAGAGGAGGTAAGGCGTGATGATAAGGAGTCACAGCAGAAGAGAGACTTGTATTTCTGACATAAAAATAATTATAGAAGTTAATTGGCTTAGTTGAAACTTTGGTGATTATTTAATCTATATCTGTTAGAGTGCCCAGAACCTTCCTTGAACATAGTGAGCATTCAATGTCTCTGGAATGAATGAATTTACTATATGACTAAATTGAACTCTTCAATGTGACTTGTATATAATACAAGTAGAACCAAGCCCAAGCCCAGGGTGAGAAAATTTCAACCTCAAATTCTCTACATGCTGCCTTTTGTTGATACAAGCCATGCAACCACTGACTTTATTTTATTTAAAATTTTTAATGTTTATTTTTGAGGGAGAGAGAGAGAGAGAATCTGAAGCAGGCTGCAGGCTCTGAGCTGTCAGCACAGAGCCCGACACAGGGCTCAAACTCATGGACCATGAGGTCATGACCTGAGCCAAAGTCAGATGCTTAACCAATTGAGCCACCCAGGCATCCTTGCAACACTGATTTTAGAAAGACACAGCCATAGAAATTGGGCACTTTAGCCTATTTCTTTTCACTAAATTGCAGTTTTTAGATTAAGTAATAACAGGGTCCAGAATCTGGTAAAAACATCCCTTTTAGTTACCATGAAGAGTTCACGTCTATAGAGATATGGTATTTTCAGTATTTTTGGCAATTGAAAGGTCTAATGTGACTTCCCCAAAAGCCTTGATTTTCAGCAGCTGGGAAGGAGCAATGCCTGACTCAAAGCTGTAGGATCTATGCATGAGAAGAGAACCATAAAGTGAAGGTCATTATCTCTAGAAATCAGTACATACGCATTCTGTTTGAACATGTCTGATGTTCACACTATTTGGTTCTGAATATATAAAATGGAAATTGTATATATATATATATATATATATATATATATTTTAATGACATACATAGCAATATATTAAAGTACATCATTACTAAATATTTTTTTTTCTCACAATTGGTGCTATTATCCATGTTCATCCAGGAGAAATAGTGCAACAAGCTGTTTTACTTTAAGCAGCAACCATTAATGCAGAAGACAGTACGTTAATGCAATGCCAGTGCGTGCAACAATGAGCATCCACTGTCCTATGCACAGTTCAGTGTGCTGTGCAACCAGAAGGGTTATGCCTTTGGAGCTTCAATTTATACCATTTGTTTATTGCTTGACAACTTATCTGGAACCATAAAACTGTACAAGTGATAATCCTGGAGCTACCACAAAGAATTTAAAAATCATTTACCTTTGGAAATTAATAAATATTTAGCACTGATTGATAATATACCATATAAACTTATGGAGTATAGATACTGCAGTACTTAGAGCAAAACTTGTAGACTTACATCATATATTTGAAAAGATATACTGACAATGAATGAGTTAAGCATGAAATGCCAGAAGTTAGAAGGCTACATAATTAACACAAAGTAGAAAGACGAAAGAAATTTATGGTCAGAGCAGATATTAAATGTAATACAAAACAAAGATGCAATTAGATTAACAAAGCCAAAAGTTGGTTCAAACCTCTGGAAAGTTTGATCAAGGAAAGAACTACAAAAATAAATAGTGTTAAGAATGCAAAAGCTATTTCACTATGGATTTAGCAAAGACAAAAAACACATTTAAGAGTTTTATGAATAATGGGATGTATTATCTAGCGAATTGAAGACACACATGTCATAAAACTAGCAATTCCATCGTGGCACAAACTCCAGAAAAACTTGTACACTTATCCTACTCAAACATGTCCACAGTTCAGCCTTTGAGGATGAATAAATATATCTAGATGGTTCTGTGGCAAAGGACGGTCTCTACCCAGTGACAACTGCTTAGAATTGGAATTGATATGTTGGCAGAAAGGCAATTAGCCAAAGTTCTGGGACACTAGTGCTCTGTGCTTGTAATGAATAAGTGCTAACCTGACTTCCCAGGATCTTGGAAATGCCAGGAGAGAGCTGTTGTACCCTCGAAAGAGGAACTCTTGTGACTGATGCCTTCTGAGTCCTCCTCTCTGGCAGTCTGAGACCTGGCGAGATGTTAAGATAAGGCAGGCCATCACCACACTGCTGTCATTTAAGCTGAGGAACCATGTACGCACATTTCCTACTTGGGGATTTTTATTCCAGAGATGTAACTACAGATATAATTTTGTATATAACAGCAGAAATGCTGAAAGCTGTTTGCAAAAGGTGTCCTTTACTCTCTGTAACTTTACCTAGTAAGAAATTACTATTTAGCTACATTTTGATGAAGCAACAAAGACATAATGTGTAATTGGTGGGCTGCCAGTCTAAGAGTAGATTTTTGAAATCCGTATCTTCTCTCTTCAAGGATAAGACAAAATTTATTTTTTCACGGCTTTAAAAATTTTTTGTCAGTCATCATTTCATATTGTGACCTACCACTCAAAATTGACCATAACACTTACATTGCAGGAAATTCTGTGAAAGGCGGAATATTCTCCTCTTGTATGTGAGATTGAAAATCCAAAAATTTTGCAGATTTCTACCAGAAACAATATCATTTCTTTGAATAACACACAAGCATTTTTTTTTCTCTCTACAATATGAGTGTTAAGACCCTTAATTATAAAGGGCTTGATCGTAGCTCCTTGTTTTAGCCCTTAATTAATTACTACTATTAATGATTTTATAGGCTTTATTTCTTTGGATTTTATGCTAGATGGATATTTATTTACTTCCTAATCTCAAAATTACTTAGAAGTAAATATAAACAGCAATTTGTCTTTTTGTCTTTTTTAGTTAAAATGTTGCTATTGTTAACTCACTTTTTCTTTGTATTTTGTGTTTAATAAATAGTTCTATTTAGGGTATAGATGGTAAATTCAATTCCTCAGCTAGACTCAGAATAACCACGTAGCATATAATGCTCTGACAAATAGAGCCATAAAATTTTTAAATGATCTTTAAGATTAGGATATTTTTCTGAAAAGTAGCTTAAGGGAAATGATTTCTGTAGTTTTAAATCTTAAAGCATTACCAGCAAATAAATGGAATTTGACACTTTCTACACATGTGTAGATTTTTATAACTCCGTTTGTTAGTCTGGAAGATCTGAACAACAGAGATTGTCAGGCAAAGGCTAAATGAAATCTTGACGGGTATATTAGAGATAGAATTTAGGCATCACATGAGTGATTCAATTAATGATCTTGAAAGTCGCTTCTATCCCTGAGAATCTCTTTCTTTAGATTTATGAGAATAGTGGAGAATTAACATAAGGACCTGGTGGCCTAATTTGACTCATGAATTTAGAAGAGTTATTCATACAAATACAGTGTTTTTCACCTATTAAAATGTCATTATAAAATTATTGAACAGTAACATTGTACAAAAATAGTATTAAGTTTAATCTGCCTCCATTGCCAGCACATTGTGGACAATCTCTTAAATGCATGGATGAAATGAACTATCCCGAGCTGGTGGGCAAGAGAGCCCCCTTAAAAGACCCTGACTGACCAGATCATTCGATCAGCTGTGGTGAACCATTCCCTTTAGTGAGGGGAGGTAGTTTGGCAGTTAACGCAGGTGACTGGAAACCAAGGCTCCAGCCCTGCCTTTTAAATTTTTTTTAATGTTTTATTTATTTCTGAGAGAGAGAGAGAGAGAGTGAGTAGGGGAGGGTCAGAGAGAGAGGGGGATACAGAATCTGAAACAGGCTCCAGGTCCTGAGCTAGCTGTCAGCACAGAGCCCGACTTGGGGCTCAACCCACGAACTACGAGATTATGACCTGAGCTGAAGTCGGACACTTAACAGACTTAGCCACCCAGGCGCCCCTACATCTTAAAAAAATAATAAACTGTGATATCCGGGGCGGGGGGTGGGGGGTGGAGTCAGTTTTCCCTTAAGGGTCAATTTTTATGGTTTCATGTTTCAAGTTGGAGTCAACTTCAGTCTTCAGTTTTTAAAGACAAGGACATCGCTGAGTTTTGGAACAAAGCAATTGATTCAGGATAAAATACTTCAAATTAAAAAAAAAACAATTAATTTATTTTTCCTTTCACCCACAGGTCTACCCACGGATAGCGCCGGCATTTTGGCACTACCTGCGGGTAGAAGTGAGTAGCGGGTACTTGAACTCTCCCACCCTTGCTCCTTGCACTCTGCTGGTGTGGTCTGATCTGATGTGCCCATTTTGCTCCAGGTGCAGCTGCCATTCTGTGTAAACGTGCTCTCACGCCACCACCATTCTTTAGAGTTGGATCAGAAATCCAAATCACCAAAAACACAAGTGGAAGTTTATATAAGATAATCATCTTTCTCAATAAATCTTCAAATCAAGACCATATCATATGCATCATAATGATAAATTAGTGCTAAATTATGGAAAGCCATGCTTACACCTCTTTTTAATCAATATTTTTGATATTCAGAGCATAATTCCTCAGCTTAATTTGGGCATATCCCTGGAAAAAAGTGGGATAACTCTACTTCATTTCCTTTCTCCTCTTTTCTATCCCCAGGAGCACGAGCAGCTCACCTACTCCTCCACGAGGTCAAAGGCGCCCAGTGTCATCATCACGGGCCTCAAGCCAGCCACCAAGTACATATTTCATATCCGAGTGAGGACTGCAACAGGATACAGTGGCTACAGCCAAAAGTTCGAATTTGAAACAGGAGATGAGAGTAAGTTTTACACATACATATAAATAAGATGTGAAGTTAGTACCATTCCAATTGGACCTGAGTTAAAAACCTAATGTTCCCAATTGTGAATAGTCTCATCAAACGAGGTTCTGTTCATGTAAATACTCATATAGTCATTTCAGTTAGTGTTTGGTGCTATCATTAAATACCTCCATGAAATGCCCTGTTCTACCACAATTGTAATGTAGCCCAAATACATTTCTTTATACAGAATTCATCACTCACCCTGGAACATAGGGTCTCAGTGGGTGGTGTTAGCCTAATTGTTTGCCAGTCTTGGCATCATAATATGATACTAATGAAAACTTGGAAGAGAATAAAGCCATGAGCACATGATTTTAGCAACTAGTTCAAAATTGTGCAGCTTTGGCTTATTATCTCAGATCAGTAAAATCAGTGGTCAGAAGGAAAACTCTACTGAAATGTACATTATAATTTTAAATATAGACATATAGGCTTAATTAGAACCTCAGATTAGTTCCATAGTCTCAATGTGTTGAAAATCAAAATGGGAGCTGGAGGTGAGGTGTTCCAATATCACGTAACACAGGCTTTGGAATGTCTGATTCATTCTAAATCCTGCTCTGCCATTAAATCCATTTTTTTGCTTTTAGAAACCTATCTTACTGCTATCGTTGTAAAGATTAATACGGGTAGCTTTTGCAATGTTCCTCTATGGAAAATGTTCAAATATCTAATCATAATAAAAATCTTTTCCCGTCATTGCAAAAATACCCATATTTATATAAGAATTCAAGAATAGCAAATTTATCATAAAAATTCTTTATAAATAACAGTAATAATAGCTACCATTTATTGAGCCTCTAATAAATGCCAGAAATTATGTGAACTATTTTATATGTGTTATTTAAACCTTTCAACATCCAATGAGACAAGTATTATTTCCCTAATTTTACTTATGAGAAAACAGAAACCTTGAGAAATAGAGCAATTCATCCAGCTATATACAGCCAATGAGAAGCTAATTTAAAATTTATAAATGAGGGCTATCTTCTTCCAAGGTATCTTCTGCCTGCACTCTGAACAACTCCACCATCCTGTTAATGTTCTTTCATTTGAATTATTAAAAAGTGCTAATAGTAAGACAACTAAACAGGCCACAATTCCTCCAATGTATCACTCCCTCAAAATGAAGCAATTTGGTTGGAAGGAGTGTTATTTTTATATTGATGAACAGGATCAATTCATAAGAACTTCCTCATTAACACTATACTTAACCAAAAAGTAGCAACATAATTAAGAAACACAGCTTAGGGAGAGAAAGTAAACCAATGAATAAAAAGAACACTTATAACCTGGATGTTTAATATCAGTGATAATCATTTATAATCTTGTGGACACTATTGACTTCTCAAGCTAGAAATGAAATTATTGGGAGTAGACTGTAATTACCACTAAACATAATTCCATAATTAAGAACAATATAAAAATATTCAAAGTGCCATCCCTGCTATGTCCTGTTGACTGTTTTCCCCCATTTATATGTCAAGACTTAACCTAGATGTGAGCTAAAGGGTGCAATTCAAGGGAAGTTTGTTGCAGGAAAAGTTCTGTCATGTGTTGTTCAGACTGTGTGTATTACACTCCTGCATCTCTGTTTTCTTACTTTATTTCACAGATGAGGAAATTTACCTAGCTTTTTAAAAAGTATGACATTTTTGAGTCATATCATTAAGTCAAAAACATACTCTCAGAATTATAGGGCTAAATCTAGATAAGTCATTTGTCTATATCTGGGACTTCTAGAGAAACTAATCTAGTTTAATTTTTAAAAAAGTTCTGATCTAAATATGAAAAATTTAATTTGGTTTAACTTTAAATTTCAACTCATTGTACTTTTAGGACTAGAAATCTTTCAGATGTTATGTAAAAAAGAAGTACTCTGAAACTTATCAGAAAAGTTCCCTTACTCACCAATGACTCAATGCAATATTTATTCACCCAACAAAAATGTATACCACCCTTAATATGTGCCATACTCTGTGTGAGGCACTGGGGAAAAAAAGTATTTATAAGACCAACAGCCTTTGCCTTCACATAATTTATACTGTAGATTTATGGGAAGGAACTTAAAATTTAATTTAAAAATACCAGGTTACTGACATGTACTATCATAAAGATATGCAAAGGGTGCTGAGAGCAGAGGGAAGAAGCCCTAATTTAGCATAAGTGGGTCATGACTGGATCTGGTGGAAAGTGAGAAGCTGGGGTTTATTCTCAAAACAGGAGTAGTAAAGAAATAGCAAAAACGCTGAGACCTGAAATAGCATGAACAATTTAAAGAGCAAATAATTTGGTGTGGCCGCAGTGAGGAGATATCCAGGTAAATGAAGGAAACTAAGGGCAGAGTGTTATACAAGGGCCAATAGGAAGGTGCTCTATGGCCATGTGAACGAGGTTGAGCATCCTGATGACACTGAGGATCCATAAGAGGGTTTTAATTAGGGAGTAACATGACAGGTAAGATGTGCAAGACTCCATGCTGAGCAATTCACACAAATTATCTTTGTAATTTTGAAAGATTATTTCTCCTTCTAGAGACATAAGTAGCTTTACCAAAATCGGATAATCAAATGAGGGGAGGTGCAGAACTGGAACCCTAGAGCCATCTGACAGTGGTAGCCGCAGACAACAAAAACCCTGTTTTGAATCACTGATTCATAAATGACATGAAAGATGCTTTTATTAGATCCTTGAAGAGACAAAATGTCTGAGAAAAATCTGAAAAATGTGTTTGTCTAAACCCGGATTTGGAGTACATAGTATGGCTCTCAAGTCAATTTACAGCCCAGGAGAAAATCATTTAAAGGATCATTTTTTATCTGGTTAGTTTTAAATTACATGTTCAAAGCATGCTATTAATATCCAGACGAGAACTTCAGTGAAAAATGTCATAGAAGGATATGGGCAGGTTTACTGTAAGTCCAGGTATATAGGATATGAATCCCAAGCTACTGTCTTTCTCTCTTCATACCCTCCTAGCTTATCTTTTCTAATTTTTATAGATTTTGTTTCCTGAGTAGTGCCTGAACAACGTTCTCTCTTTTGTATTCTATTTAATTAACTAACTTGATATAATACATGCCTAGAGATGAGGTGTGTTGGTGAAGAAAGATTAGGTTCTCTCATTTGACGGTCTGGTTCAGATTTTTTTTAAGTAAGCAAAGTGAAGTAGTTTACAATTTAATTCTCTCTAGCCATATTTGTTTTACTTGGTTCCAGTTTTAGTTTGCCAATAAAATAATAATATAAAATATGTACATATTTTCAAAATCATAATAATCTCTTTTTTTTCTGTTTTATTTGTTTATTTTATTTTGAAAGCGAGAAGGAGAGGGACAGAGAGAATCCCAAGCAGGCTCCACACAGAGAGTGCAGAGCCTGACATGGGTCTCTAGGTGGAGTTCAATCTCATGACCCTGAATTCATGACCTAAGCCAAAATCAAGTCAGCCACTTAACCACCTGAACCACCCAAGCACCTCAGAATCATAATATGTTAACCCACTAGTGTTCTACCATTATAGTGGCATCTGATCAGCAGTCACAGTGACCCCTCTTGCTCTTACAGACCCAAAGTTGGATGATTTTCTAGAGTTAGATTATGTGGTGGAAACTGGATAACCAAATGTAAAGATTACTAATTTTGACTTATAGCATTATAAACAGAGCTTACTTAAATTAGACTTGTTGGTTTCCTTTCTCCCAAGGTCTATAGAATAACCTCATTACATATGTGTATATGGAGAGATAAATAAATGATAGATAGATAGATAGATAGATATAGATTATTGATTGATAAATATATAAATAAATAGGTAGATAGATAATCATTCTTATATAGTCACAAAAGACTTTTCTGTTTTAATCCTGGCATTTCTTATGTCTGCTAATCTCTCTTTGGACAAGGAGTGTACATGTGGTTCAGTGGGTTAATTGTTTGATTCTTAATTTAGGCTCAGGTCACGACCTCACAGAGCTTGCTTGGGATTCTCTCTATCAGCCCCTCTCTCTCTATCTCACAAAATAAATAAATAATCTTTTAAAAAATTGTACAGAAAAATACTGTGTCCATTAACAGCACTTATTGAGTGTCCATTGTGTACTGGACTTTTCAATAGGCCAATAAATTACAATACAATAGAATCAGTAGTGAGAAAGTAAGAATATATAAACATTCCATGTGGATCTTCTATTTATTTGTTTATTCATTCATTCATTCATTCATTCATTCAAAGTTAGTTAACATACAGTGCAATAATGGTTTTAAGTATCCCTAAAAATAGAATTTAGGGATTCATCACTTACATATAATACCCAGTGCTCATCCCATCAAGTGCCTTTCTTATGGCCATCACCCATTTAGCCCATCTTCCCATCCAACATCCCTCTTGCAGCCCTCAGATTGTTCTCTGTATTTAAGAGTCTCTTATGGTTTGCCTCCCTCTCTGTTTTTATCTTATTTTTCTTTCTCTTCCCCCATGTTCATCTGTTCTGTTTCTTAAATTCCACATACGAATGAAATCATATATTTATCTTTCTCTGAAAAAAACATGAAAGATCGATGTCAGAAACTAATATAAGAATTTTTCCAAGTGCCTGGGTGGCTCAGTTGTTTGAGAGTTCAACTTCAGCTCAGGTCATGATCTCACAGTTTGAGTTCGAGCCCCATGTCAGGCTCTGTGCTGACAGCTAGGAGCCTGGAGCCTGCTTCGGATCCTGTGTCTCCCTCTCTTTCTGCCCCTCTCCTTCTCGTGCTCTCTCTCTCTCTCTTTTTCAAAAATAAATAAACATTATAAAATTAAAATAAATTTTAAAAAATAATTTTTAATATTAAAATGAAACATATTAGGTCTCAAAGTATCAAACACACACACATACACAAACACAGATTAAGTACAGACCTTTTCGGCATAGATGAATAAAACAACAAGAAATCTTAACTACCTCATATTTATT